GTGGGGGTGTGTGTCAGTGGTGCCATTGATTGAGTGGCACCGGCACACACCAGCTCACAAGGAGGCTTCCACTATGTGATCTAGTGCGTTCCGGCCACTAACTGTGCCGAAACACACTGGAGATGGTGTGAACCGGCTTTAAAGTCTGTGACATCCCTGACACACTGCACTCAGAGCCACGCACAGCAAAGGAAAGCGGCGGTACATGGAGCTTTGCATGCGGTGTGTCTAGAGATATCCTCTCCCCCGCGAAGCTAGGCAAGTATAAAAATTTAATCTCTAGCCAATCGGCTCACACATATGAATCCGCACTTCAGGATGTGGATCTAAGCGTGCAGCTAATCTGTTTCAGAAAAGGTGTTTAGTGAATGAAGTCCCGATAAGAAGTTTACTTGGTAATGTTTTCTGTACTGAATTTTCTGTACTGCACAAGTTCTTTCTGTGACATATGCCAGGGATGAGAGCTATGCAGAAAGAATTAATATATGTCTATTTAATAATTAAGTTAACTCAATAAGTAATATTAACTAATAAGTAACTAAATTATTATAAATTATTTTGATTTTAATCAGATAAAAAAAAAAAAAATCTATCACCCAACTAATAGATTATGACAATAACACAGTTCATTGAGGGACACAGCAAGTCTCTCACCTTCGGGTTATACTGCCACCTACAGGAGGATTGGGCCCTGAAAAGGAAACTGTAGGCCAGCCCAGGATAACCCCAACTACCAGCATGCCTCTTTTTTGCTAGTGTCCTATGGAGATGTCTTCTCTTCAGCTCTGCTGTCTAAAAGACTTGTGTGTGTGTGTGTGTATGTATATATATATATATTTTTTTTTTCTTCAATTAAGACTCCTTGGTTGTTGGTAACCTGGAAGAGATATTCAACATTGGGGTTTGTGTAAAAAAAAAAAAAAATAGTTTTTTTGTTTTTTTATCTGCAGAGCGCTTTCCAGGTCCAGAGCCACTGCCACTGCCATTGCCTCAGTGCTTGTCTTGTCTGTCAAGGCTTCTGTGTTTTGCTGTAGGGTCCCTACAATACCATTTTGTGGCCATGCCCTTCATCTGCACCATAGGTGCTCACCAAGATGCTGCCCCCCCTCACCCCATTATTGCCACTATTGCGCTTTTGTGGCATTCCCATTTGGGATGCACAGACCATTTCCTATTGAGGGAACAGTCAGCGCAGGGCTCTGTCAGGCATCATGGCCTTGACTATGCAGATGTTAGAGCAATTTGGATGGATCCTGAACCTACAGAAATCAGCACTGGAACTGACTTATCATTTGGAGTATCTACATCTAGTCTGGGGCACAGCTCAGGCCGGAGTGTTTATTCCACAGGAAAAAACGTAACTCTCCAATCTTCAAATTGAGCTCTCCAGCCCAGGAGACTGCTTTTGCATGAGTCCAGGAGCTGTTGATAGCCTCCTTGGAGCTAGTCACATTTGACCAGTTTCACTCCAGACCTTTACAACGCAACATTCTGTCATCGTGGGACAACTGGTCAACTGATAGACAGATTTGTTTGGTACCAAGGACCAGGTTGTTTCTAGGCAAGTGTCTCAGAAATCTGTATCTGGAGTCAGAAGTCCTCCTTTCAAAGATACTTAGAATGAATGCCAGCCTGTGGAGGAGTCCATGGCACCCATTTGGTCGAGGGCACTTAGACCGTTATCTCGTCTCCTAATCCTGGATCTTTGGGCCATTTGGCTGTCTCTGCAGCATTGGACCATTCTTTTGTATTCAGTCTAACAAAGTGCTGGCATATATCAACCATAAGGGTGGAACCAAAAGACTGTGGCAAGGAAGGTAGTTTGGATACTTTCCAGGCTGAGCTTCCCCATACTGCCTTGTTTGCCATGTGCAACCCAGGTGTAAAAAAAATATTGGGAGGCCAAATTCCTCAGCTGACAGCACCTGGACCAGGGCAATGGTCTCTGCACCTGGATGTTTTACAGGTTGTTGATGCCAAGTGTGGACTGGACATGTTTGTCTCCAGGTACAGGGAGCCTCTAGCGGAAGCAGTAGATGCTCTGGCGGCGCCTTGAAATTGGTACACCATGATCTATGCCTTTCTTGCTCTGCTTTATAGGATCGGCATGGAAGATATTCTGGTGAGAATCCTCATTGCTCTGGTGATCTGTTAGCATGTGATCTCCTGGCACATGCTTATTGAGCTCTACCAGATTGGTGAGATCTTTTGTCTAAAGGACCGATTTCCCATCCTGCTTTATGGCTGCTGGCTTTAATGTATCTAGCTTTAGCCATGCCATGGCATCCATAAATCTGTGATTCCTACGATGCTGAAGGGCAGGAAGGCTATTTCCCACAAGGTTCGTCATCAGACCTTGCAGGCAAACATTACTTGGTGTGAGTCTCAGAGACCGTTGGCCTCTCACTCCTTGGTTAAGACTTTTGTACATGGAGTTTCCCATTTAGTTCCACTGTGACTCTGGAATCTGAATCTGGTTCTCTCTGTACCTTAAAACTGCTGTTTGAACCCTTTTGAGCTAACGGCATTATCCCTCAAACTCTTTCTGGTTTTGCATAGGAACAGCGTGATGTTAAAGCCCAATGTTCTTACTTGGGTAAGAAGGAAGGGCTTCCTTCTCGCCTAAAAATTAGTAGTACCATCTTTTTATTCTACCGGGCCTGTGCTTTCAGAAAATATATGGTTTGGGGGGTCTTTTAAAAACGCTAGCAACGCAGCAGTAGAAAATCGAAACCATGGCAAAAATAGTGTGGCCAGCTGAGGTATAAATCGTTTGAGTGCTTGACAGCGGTTCTCAACCCCAATTTGCCAGGGGTCGCCGGGAGTCTCTTGCTATTAGATAGCGGCTCCTGGCAGCCAAGGAGAGAAAAACTTTCTCCCAGAAAGGTTTAATCTGCTCGATCGAGCAGAGTAAACCTTTCCCTGCGATCGTGTTTTTGTTTTTGTTTTTTTAATTCTGACATCGGAGCCGTTGGCCGCTGTAAGTCAGACAAAAAAAAAAGTAAACACCATTGGAATGCATAGCTAGATTCCTATTGGCTATTTCACTTTGCAATAGCAAACTAGCTATTGCACCCGCCCACTGCTGCTGTCAATCAGCAGAGGGGGACCTGCAGTTCTCCATCAGGTCCCCATCTAGTGATTGACAACAGCAGAGGGCGGGTGCAATAGCTAGTTTGCTATTGCAAAGTGAAATAGCCAATAGGAATCTAGCTATGCATTCCTATGGTGTTGTTTTTTGTTTTGTTTTTTTCTATTCTGACGGCGTACGGCACAATAAGGCTGCAACTGTTTAATAATCAATACGTGCTCTACAGCAGAGCTTACATTCTACATATAAAAATGGGTTGTATATAATAATTAAAAAAAAAGTTTGAGTTTTCTTTTGAAATAAAATTACTATTTACAATTTTTTTTTTTTTTTTTCAAAAGAAAACTCAAACCTTTTTTTTTATTAATAATTACAACCCATTTTTATATGTAGATTATACAAATAGTAATTTTTTTCCAAAAGAAAACATACCTTTTTATTATCATTATTATTAATAGTAAAAGCTGACACCCTCGGCTTGTGTTATATGGTTTGCCATTTTAGCTGTTACAGCAGTGGTGCTCAACCTGTGGGTCGCTGTGTGATTTCTGCTGTGCTAGGTGAGAGTCTTCCTCAGCCCTCTCCTAGTGCAGCGGTGTCAGTTCTCCCACCAGATGTCGCTGCAGCAGCCGCGTCATCCCTAAATTTTACAGTTGGGGTCACCACAACTTGGTAAATGTTACCAAGGGGTCCCGGCCCTAGAAAGGTTGAGACCCACTGGGTTAAAGGAAGCACTATCACAGCTTGCACTGGGGGGAAAAAATTGAGAAGTCTACAAAAGCAGAAGTGCCACTATCCTATTTATCTGATCACTTATCTGTCAAAATAAGATTTTTGACTTGCCTATAAAAATATTTTTCTTTGAATCCATTTAAGAACACAGAAGTCTTTTACTTTTGAGTTATACAGCCACCTATAGAAGGATTGAAAACTGGCAAACAAAAACTAGGCCGGACAAAGACAGGAGGGAAAAAACAAATACTTTTCCGACTAAATCTATCACGGCAATGCCTCACAATGCTTTGCCATGCACTGCCACAGTTAAATTAATGTTATTTTTAAAAGGTAAGGGGGAAAAAAGTAAGGGGGGAAAAAAATTAAGCGCATGTGCATTGTGTACACCAGAATATGGTGTGTGTGTGTTTTTTTTAGTTTTTACTGTTAGGGGGGCTTAGGGGAAATATATTCGGGGTCTAAACAGACCCTGATATTCCGCTTTTAAAATAGAAATAGGGATGCAGAACACAGTCTTCAATCTCTTATTCTGCAGCCCCTGTTATAAATGAACAGGAAGCCTCTATACTGAGTGTTCCAGTCCATTCATAACTTGAGGACATAGTATGTTTACCATTTGAAATAGAAAAAGAAATTGAGAACAGCAGAGGGCGGGTGCAATTTGAAACTGCCAACATTTTATTCTACAAGGTCTTGTCTTTCAGAAAATAAATAATGTGTGGGGGTTTGAAGTAATTTTCAGGCCTAAAATGTGGATTATAACATGGGTACAAAAAAACCGTAAAAAGTACTCGGTCACTAAAGGGGACAGTCAGGGAAACGGTTCTGATATAAATTAATTGTTGCTGAAGCAACCATGAGCTTATCGCAGAACGGTAAAAGCCACCGGCGTATGGCATACTGACGTGGCCAGCTAGAAATAGTTGTGTTCTGCCATATGCCATACGTCAGTGGCAGCTAAAGGGTTAAGCTAATAGTGCTACCATTTAGAATGAGCAGTACTGCATATTTTGTGATGAGAAACCAAGTAATTGCACTGTAGTTGCATTTCAATCAAATGCAGTACACGAACATCAATAAAAATATATTGTTCTGTTCAAACCTGTCTATGTTGCAGTGTATTGAATATAATTTGTACCTTGCATTGAATTCTATTTTTGTAAATCTCCTTTAGCTACCCACACAGAACATGCCTATGGGTCCGGCAGGAATGAATCAGAGTGGCCCTCCACAGCCACCACGTTCACACAACATGCCTTCAGAAGGAATGGTAGGAGGGGGCCCTCCTGCACCACACATGCAGAACCAGATGAACGGCCAGATGCCTGGTAAGATTCTCTTCCCGTAGGTATTAACACCATGGTTGCTAGGCAACCAATAGACGTGCAGGCTCAGGGGATACTAGATTGCTGATGACAAAACTGCCTTGAATACCCTGGAGTGCAAGCTCTCTTACAGTTTGTTAGCTACAGAGCTACGTGACCTGTATTCACTGTTTATCTTTCTGCCCTTGGGCTTTGATGTGGCTGACACACAGCATTGCTGTGATGAACACAACTGTCTAAATTTAGTCTGTGTGAAAGCACACAGTACAGCTGGCTCTGAAAAGCTTTTTGTGGAGAGATTGTCCATTGGCTTCTCAAAATAATTTCCCCTTCTGACAGCGGAGGTGTGTTTTTTTTTTTTTAGATTTTGTTTTGCTTGTCACCCTTTTTCACTGTCAGCTCGCAAATTGAGGTTAACTGTTTTTATTTCACACAGCAGCTTTTTCATCTTTATTTAGTCTTTTTTTTTTTTTTGTAGCATTCCCTAAAACCGTCTAATGAGAAATCTAACTACGTTCCGGATCAGGAATAATGCAGATCTTTAGCAAATATGTTATGTGTGCATATATTCTAAATAACGTTAGAATGTATAATACTCTTACATAAAATGTTCATCATGTGGATTTTGGGAAATCTTAAATGATAAACACGTATCACAGAGTACATCTTACTCTGTGGTTTTCAGGTTTTCACACTTTAACAAACCTGTCTGTAAACTGCCGTTCAGAACTGTTAACAACGCTTCAATGCTTAGAATTGAAATTATAATTTTTGTTTGAAGTTGAGCGTATTTTAATTTGTCTGAAGGGGAATTTAAAGTGACACTAAACTTCGGAGTAAAATCTAAAAAATGCATTGAAGTACCTTTTAACTATTAACAAAAATGTATCTTATTTGTGTATCACTCGGCTGTAGGTACTCAAATCATCTCTGAATTGGTGCTGACACTGTCCTTTCTTCTGGAGGGGGGGTTCTTTTGTTCCCCATGGTCCCTGTGTGTGTTGTATAAAGTAGTCTCAGCTCCAAGCTCGCTCCCGGGATAGTCTACAATCTCATGTTTTAGTTTACTAATTGGTATTTTAGTTAGTCTATCACAGGAGCGAGCTTGGAGCTGTGACTACTTTACAACACACACAGGGACCATGGGGAACAAAGTAGTCACTCTCCAGAAATCAAGGACAGTGTCCGCACCAATTCAGAGAGGATACAGAAATAAGATGCACTTTTGTTAATCGTTACTTGAATGTGTTTTTAAAAATGTAACGCCTGAGTTTAGTGTCACTGTACAAGCTGTGGTGTCACCAGCAGAGGGGACAGATGAGGCGGTGCATGCTGTGTACTGACTATGATGATGTTTAATGAAAGTATTCTAGGAAAGAATTGCTATATATATAAAGCTTCTTTTCAGAAACAAATTGCACTGTGTGTATGCTGTGTACATGCTCTTCACCACCCTTTGTGCAGTACATTCAGGATTATTTAGTTACAGGTTTATATCAAGTGTGTGCTGCAGTCAAAGTTTCACCAGACCGGTAGATTCTACCTTGTGTACATTACTGGACCTAATTAGCCTGTATTGGATCCTTCCAATACTTTTCTAATTTGTCAAACATCTTCCCCTCAAAAAAACAGTTATCCTGCTATATCTTGTGCATTTTCTATATTTCAGTAAGAAAGGCTTTTGTATGAAAAGTTAACTGCCACAGCATTGCCTTTTATGAAGACTATGGGAGCCATTGAGCTGTCTTTCTCTCATTTCATTTCAGGAATGATGACACTATAAGGCTTATTCAGCAAGGCAAAGTGTAGCATAGCATGACATTCAACATAGATATGTAAATAGTGGATGTCTAGGCAAAATGTTTAATGTATTGGATTCCTTATTCAGTGCTCCTTGCCTCTTTTACATTTTTGCTTTCCATCCAGTATTCTTCATATATCAAGCAATATCTCTCAGTCTCGGTTACATTTCTGTAATGGATGTCCTGCAATAAAACAGTGATTCTGTCACCTCAGGTTTTTGCTAGAACTGAGTAGGGTAATGCTGCAGCTATTGAGTTGAGGAAACCGCCCAGCAGGCCCATGTGGCCTGTTTTTAAAAGACAGTTTATTTTTATGGAACTTTTTTTTTTACTTCCACTTTAAAATATGCAGTGATCATGTTACAAATGACTCACCGGGAGGTGATCAGCTGCTTTACAATCTGACCCCAGTGGAGGGAATTTGGAATTCGTTGGACTCGGGCCTACTAAAACGTCCATACAAAGAATATTTGTATCGGTTTGTTTGTGTAGAAATCTTTGGATAATTTGTTACCCTTTGTTTTATGTTCAGCACTGTGTAATAATTACACTTTTTTTTTTTTTAATGATAAAAGATAATCCCATCTATAACCGAATATTTGGCTAAAGCCACATCTGTTAAAGCGAACCTAAACCAGAGTAATTTTTTTTTTTCTTTATTCAGGACCCAACCATATGTCTATGCAAGGACCAGGACCAAACCAACACAGCATGTCAAATAGTTCAATGCCTATGTCTTCGAATAATCATGGTTCTATGGGAGGATATAACCATTCTGTGCCATCTTCACAAAATATTCCAGTCCAGAATCAGATCAGCATGACTCAAGGGCAGTCAATGGCAAACTATGGTCCCAGACCAAGCATGAATATTCAGCCAAATCAAGGTAATGACATTATTACAGTTGGGCTTTTGGGGAGTTTCATTAAAAACCAGAGCAAACTTGAGTCAGTAAAAACAACACACCACTGGACAGTATTGCAGACAGTTTTAATATTTTGGTCTTAAGGGACTGGCTGCACTTTTTTTGCCAAATAAAATAAAAAAAATGTTAAAGTGAACCTGTGCAAAGGCTATGCACACTAATGTATTTACATATTCTCAACCAATGATAAGCACTTTAACACAGGCCCCTATTCTCCTCTGTAGCTATAGGCATTATAGATAAATTTACATTTTAGTAGGGCTGCAACTAACAATTATTTTCATAATCAATTAGTTGGCTAATTTTTCTTTCCACCAGTCGGTTAAAAAAAATTAAATACCGTCTTTTATTTAAAATGAAATACAAAGGTTTATTTCAGAATAAAACTGCATGCAAATTTTTTGCATGCACGTTTATGGTTCCATTGAAATGAGTGGCACCACAATGCACATGCGGCAGCAGAACCTGTCAGGCTGAAACCAAAAATGACTTCCCACTTTTTTTTCTCACTATGTGATAGCACATTGGAGGTGACGTCAGTGGTCTATTAGACCCCTAGTGTCACCTTTCCACTTCATTGGGGAGTGACAGCTGCCTACTTAGGCAGCTGAATGTAAACCTAGCAGGCAGTGGCTGGGAGCAATAGCCAGCCTGCTATTGACTATTTTAGGGGAGCAGCGGAGGCACAGCAGTGGGGAATGCAGAGGCACACCGGTCTTTACTCTCCGATGGGCGCCAGCTGCAGTGGTACGTGTCCCTTCGGATTGAAGTAATAGCAAAAAGTATCTCAGCACACTCACCAGCCAGCATGCAAAAAAACTTGTCTCACCGCTAAGGTTAAAAACAGAGTTTTAGATACATGTCTTCTGTAGAAAATGTGAAAGCCGCACAGCCGCACCAATGCACCTCTATAGTGCGGTCCTAACTCTAAACTATGAGAGTCTCCATCTTGGAGCACATGTGGCAAAAGATCAAATTGGGTGCAGGTTTGTCAGGAGGAAGCCCAACCTCCCTTTAAAGGCACAGGTACGGACAAGGGACCCTGCAAATCAGCGATTAGTTGTTGCAGCCCTACATTTTAGTGCTTCAGTGCTAAGAAGCACTGAAATCTAAGCTATTTTCCTAACAGCCTTCTAATATAAACAAACTGCAGGTATTTCGGAGCCAGTGGTTGACATTAGATAGATATACTGAACATTTTCACAAGTGAAGCCTTTTGGTAATTTTAAGGCCAGCAGGTGTCAAAGACTGAAAAATGGTCACAGACTATAGACATATTATAGATGTGGTTGGCGCTACAGAAGGCAGTGCAGGTTACGTGAAATCACTGTTCTTACTCCTTTACTGACTGCTAGGGGTCCAAGGGCCACACAGCAAGTAGTAAAAGGCCACACGTGGTGTTGTGCACCAGGAATTTAAGCTGGTAAAAATCAACTGAAATCTTAGAGTCTTTGATGTGCTCTTGGAGGACCTTTTGAGAATGCATTACTTCACAATGCAATCAGCTAGAGAGGGTAAGGTTGACTTGTAGAGGGTCTGTATGACATCCTGGAATCTAGCATTTGTAGAATAAGTCGACAATCGCAGTTTCCATGTTTATTCTCTCAGAAGATTTAATTTAAATAAAGTTTTTGTTATACATGACTCTAAACCAGGAATTTGCTTTTATTTCCTAACTTGTACTATAAATCTACTGTAAAACTGCTAATTGATTGGTTTCCGAGAGTAACATCTTCAGTGTCCCACGTTTGTGTGCATTAGCAATGATGGCATGTTTAAATCTCTGCAGGGCTTCAGAAAAACATATTTTTTTGGCTTCCTACTGCTAATGTGCTAGGCTTACACTTCTCAGTCTAATCAGTATGTAAGCACAGGTTTGAGCTCTACCGTTTCTTGTTAGCGGAGTTCAAATTATTATTGGTTGTCATGAAACATCTGGAGGATAGGTAGGTGGGCAGACTTTACCGTCAGGATTATAAAGACTTAATTTTGTTCTTGCAGAATATGCAAACGACTGTGTAGACAAATATTTTGCATAGAATTAGGATGACCACTGGAATATTTATTACACTTTAAAAAATATATGACTGCTCCAATTAAAACCTTGCCAGCACGGTCACTACAGTCTGTAGCTTTGTAGTACTATATGTTAAAGTAAACTGACAGACCTTTTGACTTTTTTTTTTTACTTGGCTTTACAGGTCCCATGATCCACCAGCAGACTCCCTCACAGCAGTATAACATGTCTCAGGGTGGTGGACAGCATTACCAAGGCCAGCAGACACCTATGGCGATGATGGGCCAAGTTACCCAAGGAAATCACATGATGGGTCAAAGGCAAATTCCTCCATACAGACCTCCACAGCAAGGTACAGTGTTACCAAGGCTTACAAAAAAAATGTGCAAAAGACCTCCCTTTTTTTTCCCCCCAACACAGAGTACCGATTTGTTCCTAAAGTACTCGGCGATCCAATTACCGATACCTCCTTTTTTTTTTTTTTTTTTTTTTTTTTTTTTACTGCCACTGACTCCAAGCTGTAGAGTGACTACAAATCTCAGAAATACAATATATAGCAATGCAGAGAACCACTAGCTAGAGAGGACTACAAATCCCAGCAATACATTATACAGCAATGCAGAATAATATGAAGCCACATACTGTTTGTCACCAGGGCTATATGGCGACTCAGGAGACTGTGCCGGGTCTGACCAGGGCTGCGTGTGCAGCGGGTCTCCCCAGTGCTCTGCGGGCGGCGAAAAGAAGGATGGCGTGGGGCTGGACCGGCACTGTAAACAGCCACTGCAAGGTCCCCAGCAAACTCCAGAACTAACGGCAGCTGAAGTCATTTAAAAATTGAAAGGGATGGTATCGGGACATTTTCACGAGTACTAATGAGAATGCCCAGTATTGGTATTGGTGCATCTCTACTTGAGAGATTTATAGATTTGGGATAAAAATTTAGAATACAGGCAATCTCCGAGTTACGAACATCCGAGTTGCGTACGACTCATACTTCCAAACGAGGTTCCAGGCTGTTCCACTATATGTAATGCTACCATGCTCTTGCCGACGTTCGTAGTACTGTACCTCCTGTACATTACAGGAAGTTGTTAGACCCTCTTCTGGGTCTGGTACTGTACATTACAGGAAGTTGTACAAACATCTGTCCTAGTTGCATTTTAAAGAAGAACTTCATGCAAATTTTTAGTTTTGGTTAGTATGGTGTGTGGTTAGAGCAACTGAGCTTTTTACTGCTGTCCTGTATCCTCATTAGAAATATTTTGTATGTTCCAACTTGCATACAAATTCAACTTGAGAACAAACCTACAGACCCTATCTTGTTCGTACCCCGGGGACTGCCTTTATTGTAAATTAAAAGTGGCCTTGTTGTGAGAGGATGTCATGGTAAGCTTATTTTAAGGATATATTTTCAGTGTTTGCTCTACAGCTGCACTCTAGGCAGATTTTTATTTTTTATGATTAAATAGGCTTTAGCTAATGTTTAGTCATTTATATTTTGTATCTGCTTCTAGTCCTATTCTGCTAGGACCCCATCCGTATAGCATCTATGATGCAAATGAACTCTTCAGACTTTCTGTGAAATAGCATTTCCCCTAATCCTTGTCAAGAATCATCCTGTACATGTGGGTGTACAACACTTATATCTCCCCAAGCCTTGAGATTGTCATATTGCTTAACATTGAGAGCAATGTAAATGTGGCTGTAAACACCTGAAAAATAGTTCTCTAAATGATCTCTGCAATTTATAAGACCAAGGATGAAGAACAATAATTGACAAATTACTGTTTGCTGACCAGGAATGTATAATGTAAAGTGTAGTTGTAGCAATTTGTAGGTAAGGTAAAAATCAGTTTTCTGTTCTCATATAAATTAGTTTTTCAGCTCCTTTTTGTCTTGTTACTGGCCAGGTGCTGGTTGCACTGTGCAGCGACGTCCTTGCCAATGTAATGTAATGTCACGTCACTCACACAAGCACTAGTTGGCAATTTTGCCAACTGGAGCTAAAGCATGTTTAGTTACTTAAAATAAAGAAGAGCTTGCCCAATGTCTGAAACGTTTAAGCCCTGTTTCCAATGTCAATTAAATAATTTTATTGAAAGTTATTTGTGTGTATTTTTAGGTCCACCTCAACAGTACTCAGGCCAAGAAGACTATTATGGAGAACAGTATAGTCATGGTGGACAAGGACCTCCAGAAGGCATAAATCAGCAATACTATCCAGATGGTAATTATCTATTTTACATTTGTGTTTACACAAACTTGCATTTCTGTAGCTCTCAAGACATAAAAGAAGCAAGGGCAATTCATGTCTACGTATAAAGTTCAAAGAGGGACACCAGACTTGTTTCTGTTCTCGTTTTGTTTTCATTCTGGCCAAACATAATGTTGCAATTGTGTGTTTAGTACTTCAAATGCTGTTTTAGTACATTTTAGTGTTTTTTTGTTAATTTAGAGTTCTTACAGACTACAAAGTTCTCGTTCCCAATTACTGGAAAGCCATAATGTCGCACAAATTGCTGGGAAGCAGTATACAGCAAACTGATTTTCTGTTCATCTGTGTAGTGCACATGGGTTTTCTTTTCCCTTTCCTTGCAGTACGATCACACAGTTAAACCATATGTAGAGACAAAACTTTTTTTTTTTTAATGGAGTACCGAAGGGTTTATTTTTTGCAGCCGGAGTCCAGTTGGGAAGCTTTTCTGTCCCAGAGACGTAATCGAAAATGAGAGACAATTTCTACACAGTGAGGGAAATGTCACATTTAGTCAGTTGTCATCAGAACAGATGTCCCCATTGCAAGATTTCTCTTTACCTCCTGTTCAGGTGACAACTGTAAAATTCTGAATCCCCCATCACTTTCAGTCTTGGTGATATTGATCACCAGGACAAATGGTGGCGATGAAACTACCCAACACGGACCTGCAGCAATAAACTTCACATGGTTTCTAATCCTTCCTCACTTCATCCAAAACAAAAAAAACATTTTCATGTACATTTTAAATTTGCCCATTTTGTGCAAAAGACTAATGCCTGGAACTTTGAGCTAATTGAGCAAGATATTCTGCGTTAACTATTGATACACCTTCTTATAGTTTTGGTAAATAATATGTAAACCAATTTGAGTATGTACTTTTAAAAAGTCAGTATTTAACTTTTAATGTATCTTGCAAACAGAAATAGCCACAAAGTAAGCAGGTGGGTGGCTTCCAACCACAAACATTTGCTAGTTCCAGCAGCCAGTTGATCTAAAATGAGAATGGGGTCAAAATAAGTGCTGCTTGAAAGGATATTTTAAGTCCCATTTTTCTCCCAGTTTTATCACTTGGCCCTGTGAAGCCAGCAAATGTTTGTATTCAAACCTGAATGAGAGTTTTGTTCTTGTGAAACTAATCCCATCTGCCTTACATCTTGTTTGGAATGGCTGCCTTCTCTACGCATGAGAATAAATAGGATGTGAGCTGGAAGATAGGAATACCTCTATATTGAGGGCAGCATTTTAAATTTAGTTTTGAGTTATTAGCTGAAGCTGGACAAATGTTCAAAACAACGCTAAACTCAGGAGTTGAATCTTAAAAAATGCATTCAAGTACCTTTTTTAAATCTACATAATTAATAGTTATTTGTGCATCACTCTGCTGTAGATCCTTTGGTGCTGACACTGTCCTTCCTTCTGGAGGGTGGCTACTTCTGTTCTCCATGGTCCCTGTGTGTGTTGTAAAGTGGTTACTGCTCCATGCTGATTCTCGTGATGGACTACAATCTCAATACAAATTGGGAAACGTGAGATTGTAGTCCTTACTGGGAGCAAGCTTGGAGCGGTGGCTACTTTACAACACACACAGGGACCATTGGGAACAGAAGTAGCCACCCTCCAGAAGGAAGGACAGTGTCGGCATGAATTCAGAGATGATTTGAGGATCTACAGCCGAGTGATACACACATAAGACACATTTCTATTACTAGTTAAGGTACTTGAATGCATTTTTAAAATTTAACTTCACTTTATAGGATATCTGAAGGCAAAACTTTTAAAGATAAAACCTTTTTGTCAAGTTTTTTGTTTTTTTTTGCCATCTGGGTCACAATAGAGACAGATACTGAAACTGAGAAGATATCTTTCTAATTTTTAAGGAAAATCCCCTTAGATGTCATGGTAACAAGTGTCCACATTGGAAGATTTCCCCTCCATTCCTGTTCTGGTGGCAATTCAGAATTTTGTATTTACCCTCTTTTTAACACTCGGTGACATTGGTGATTTGGACAATTTGAGAGATTGAATCTGCCTAAAGGTGACACATACCAGCAAGGATCTGACAGTAGTTGTAACCATTCTATCCACAGAGAAAAATGGCTTTAGTTGAACTTTCAGTATAACGGTATCCTACATGTTTAGATTAAAATATTATACATAACTGATGGATGCTCTCACCCTTCCACACTCTATTCAAAACTAAAACAACGTTGGAGAAGGCCAGAGTTACTCATCTCAATCCAAGGATTGGGGTGCAGGTGGTTGTGTTAAATGGCCAATATCATCTTTAGCACCATATCTTGTGGTCGGCATTCAAGCACAATATGTGGTTGTTGGATAGCAGCTACTATCTGAGCATGAATCTGTCATCTCACCTCTAGAACCATTTAAGGTAAATAATCAGTGGGATTGATGAAGTGACTACTGCAGTTATTAATGCCCTCTTCCTTGAACACACCCTAATTTCTTGCTTTCCAGCTGCCATATTGTACACAGTTGTGCAGTTTACTAATTGGAAAGGAGTTATAGGAGACTGTGAGCGGTATATCTGTTCAGACTTTCAATATTTTACAAGTTAAATCCTCTAAAGGTGCTAAAGATAAATGGCTTTTAAAGCTGGTCTCCGGGAAAACAAAAATCTACCTTTGTACTTCTTGTATTTGTCTCTGAGACCTGAGTGTTTTACTTACCAGATCCCTCTCTTGCTAACTCCTAGACCAGTGTCTGTAGCCTCTTTCTGGTGGTTAGAAACCCACTGATGTCATCATGTCTAATGCAGTGTCCATAGCCTTGCATTATTTATGAGTACACTGAGGGACAGTCCGCAAGCTAGAGAGGAGAGAGAGATGACCGATGGGATCAGGTAAGCAAAACTGCTTTCCACAAACCCCTAGACATAAATGAGCGGTTACCCTTGCACTGCAAGGGTGGCTCTACTGCAATGGGAGGATCCCTTCCCCCCGGGAGATGGGCTTTAAGATATTTTCCTTTTATCAGTGATGAAAATAGTATGTGGCTACTTGTTCAGAAAAAAACTTTTTTATTATTTCTTCAACATAAATTAGCTCATCTTCCTACCCTGCCATAATTCTGGATAGTAAGGAACTGTTAATCCCATATATTTCTGTCTCTGCTTTCCACTTAAGTTAAGGCTTGTGTATATGCACAAGTGATAACCATTCTTCTTTTTCTTTAAACTCAGATTTCAGCCTTAAGATTTGTTTGCATGAGTATTATGGTAATTCATTGCATTACCGCTTTACTTGTATGTGTAAGAAAAAAAAAAACCTTACTCTTGGTGATCCCTCCCAATACTGCATTGGTGAGAGCTGGCTATGTATTATTCTCAGCCTTCCATTTGGTGCAGCGTATTAGTATCCACTATATGCTGATCAGCAAGAGAAGCCAACCTTCAACTTTTTTCTGGTGATGCAACTGGGTTTCCCCTGGCCAACAAAAATGGCGCTTGTTATTGCTGTTATTCGTAGGAAAGAGATCATCAGGCTGCCATTGTTTCTTTGTGAAAGCGGCAACCATTAATGCAATTCGTTTAACAATGTGCCATAGGAAGTTACAGAATGGGTTTGCATAATACTGCAAATAGTCAATACATTAAACGTGAAATCTAAAATACTGGCAGTGTGTAAAAAAAACCATAAGCCATATATAGATTTAAATACCAGTTTAATAACTGTATTCCATTGACTATAATGTTTTGTTTGGCAGGGAACTCTTTTTACACAATCTGAGTATAGCAATTGGTATGCACAGCTTAGACGTGACATGCATACATTTATTTCCCCTAGCCATTTTTATTTCCTGCCTGCCTAAACCAAAGCTTTTGCAAACAAGACTGGCACAATTGTGAGGTGTGTGTGTGTGTGTGTGTGTGTACACACACCTGTTTGTGTGTGTGTATGGATATTAGAGCTTTAGTAATTTAAATGTTCCCATTTGACCAACATTTACTGAATGTTTTGGTTTCTAGGATACTGTTTTTTTTTGTGGTCCTTGCTACAATATCTTTTTAAATTTTCAGTCTGTTAAATTAGTTAAGCCCTATAATTGATAATTTTATCTTTTAAATGTATCTTTTAAGTTTTTTTACGTTTTATATTACTACTTAATTGGGGTTGTTAGAAAAGCATTTCCAGCCATTATTGTGCTTCAAATTGCTTAATAACTTTCTCTTAAGTCTTTTAATGTGAAAATATTCTTAGCATTCGTGAGCAAGTAAGACTAATTATTTGCATCTCCAGCAAAAGGCCATTAACGTTTCTTCATGTTTCTTGTCGAATTGATGTAGGTCATAATGATTACGGTTATCAGCAACCGTCGTATCCTGAACAAGGCTACGATAGGCCTTACGAGGATTCCTCAACACAGAACATGTCCATATTAAGCTACACAACAGAGCTCGAAGTGCTGGCTTAGGTTTTGACTTTTCACTACAAAGCTAGCTCTCAAACACAGCAGTCGTTCACAAACACTTACTGACAGTAACTAAAAAATTTTCATTTTCCCAAGTTTGTCAGCAAAGCAACCCTTACTAAGCAACCCATTAGACCTTTCACCAAGCTATATTTACATGCACACATTTTTTGTCTTTTAGGAACCAGCTTTCTGATCTTGTCTAGCTAGTCTGTGCTCCTTAAGCTGTCTTAATGTTTTCCTTTTACTCTTGCTATCATGGTCACAAAGCTGTGATACTTTAACGTTATTGCTCGTTTGCCAAGGATGCTCCAACAACAATGCTGCAGTCCAGACTTGCAAAACTAGCTTTAAGTTTGTGGGCTGATTTTCCTTATGTTTGGATTTTTTTATGGTTTGGTGTTTAGCATTTTTATATTGATTTTTGTATTTTTGTATTTTTTTTTTCCTGTGTTGGTTGTAAAAATGTGGATTCAAACTGGACATTCATTGTACATTGTATTCCTTATTCTAAACCATCCTTAGGTAATGCTCAGTATGCACAACAGCAAGAAACCTATCAAGGACCACCACAGCAGCAAGGTTACCCACCTCAGCAGCAGCAGTACACTGGCCAACAAGGTTATCAACCCCAGCAGCAAGGTTATGGTAAGTTTTTATTAACCCATTAGTGATAATCTGTAGTAGACTTAAATATCTTGGGCTGGTTATTAGAAGTGTATATAGCCCAACCACAACAGCAAGAATAACCACCTACACACCGTGGCCAGTAAGGCTATCCACTCCAGCAGGAAGTGTTATAGTAAAAAAATAATTCTTAACCCATTGATGATCATCTTTGGTAGAAATCTGGTTTAAGTAAATATAATTGGCCCTAAGAAATCAGGTATTAATCTCCTTCAGCTGTTGTTTCCATACTGCTGCATATCAGTAAACTTGCAAAATATGTCAACTGTAATTGTGGACTGACAGTTTCATCTGCACCACAGGATCACTCAAGTGACTGATGGACAGAATGGGGGAACTAGGGATGCACTGAAATTTCAGCTCCCGGAACCATTATTAGCCGAAAACGGTACTATGGGCAAAATGCTGATGGTGCCAAAAATAAGGCCATCCCTAGCTTCTCTCCCCGCTGGGAACTAGTCTGTGTCCTCTCCGATCCCTGCTGCTCTCCCCCACCTGTGCCAGCAGTGGGGATCAGAGGGACACAGACTGGCGCCCAGCGGGGAGAAAAGAAGCTATCTGGAGGCCGAGCGGGGCGTTGTGGGGAGGTGTCACAAGAAGCTGAGCTTTCCTCCAGCACCACCCCGCCCATCCTCCCTTGAAAGGCAAGTCAGGATGGAGAGCAGAGTGCAAACACCCAGCTATTGGAACTGATCACTGAGTGTAAATGAGGACATAGTATGCTTACTGTGTCCACAGTTATGAATGAACAGGTATGAATGAACAGGAAGTGTTCTACATCACTTCCTGTTCATTCATAATTGTGGACATAGTAACTGATACTATCTCCACAGTTTATTTATGAACAGGAGCACTAAGTATAGAGGCTTCCTGCTCACTCATAGTAGGGACTGCAGAAAAAAAATAAGACTTTGTCCTTAATCTCTTTTTCTATTTTAAAAGGGTAATTTAAGGGGTCTGTTTAGACCCCTGATATTTCCCCAAAGGCTCTTACAGTAAAGTAAAATACAATAACATTTAAAAAGGTTGGGAAAAAAGGGAATTTTTTTTTCTGGTTTAGGTCTAAAAATTGTATTTTGGTGTATCGCTAGGCGGAAACAAATCTTATAAGAAAATAAGTATCTTACTGTAACACCAAATTTTTGCTTATTTTCCGAATGAACCCCTGAGCTCCTGTTGCAGCTGTTTTTGATCTTTTGATTCCCTGGAGCAGCCCACAGCCCTTCCAAGGCAGCTATATAACTAGTGATTTTCTTTAAGAAATTTACTATTTTCATAACATGGAAGTGGAGATATTTTCAGGGTTGCTCCAAGCAGTACTTGGGGATCACTGGATACATTATGATAGCTTAGATAGTACTATTACACATGTTCATACTGCATTCGATTTTGGAGAGCCTTCCTTCTGACTAGACTCACTAAGTTCACTACATGGTTTTAGACCTGTTCTCAGGTGTCAGAACTACCTGCAAAGCTCAAAAGCCAGGTTATGTACGAGTCCTACATAAGGATGCATGAAGGGACTAATGGAAGTGCAGTGACATCACTTAAGTGCTTTTTTTTAAAGAAATGGTAAAGTTGAGATCTTGACTGCAACAAACCATGATACTGAAAAGATTTTAAGGTTACTGGTTAAAGTGGTACAGGGGAGAAGGAAAAATAGTTAACTTGCAGGCAATCTGATGTGAGGCATATCACTTGTTGACCCTGTTATTGAAAAAACTTGTAAAGAAATGTCATACTTGCCTGTCTCTGCATCTGTGGAATCTTCTCTTAATTGCTGTAGGACACAGTAGTGATGTAGGGGCCGGCGGGAGGGTCCACAGAACAAAGCATTTCAAAGGACACAGGCAGCTGGCCCACTGGAACTGTGTTGCATGGACAAGGATCCTTTTGGGAGGCTTATGAATGGAAGATTTTATGAATGGACACTGGGATAGGCAAATATAAAATGCTGTATTTTGCTGGAGCTTTTTTTTAGTGGTAGGGTTGCTTTAATGCAATTAGAAAATAGGCTACCCATTTATACAGGTATTCCTCACTTAACGACCGAGTTCCGTTCCTACGACCAGGTCGTTAAACGGATTGGTCGTTAAGTGAGGAACTCTATACAGTACTATACTGCATTAGTACAGTACTGTATAGCGTTGCCGATGTACAGTACCGAACAGTGTACTGTACATCCGGCAATGGAAATACTTACCGAGACCTGCAGTGAAGATCGGGGGATGTCACTTCCGCCGGCGACCCGTCGCACTGACGCGGAAGGTCGGAGGTCGATCGGCGGTCCGTCGTAAGTGCGAGTGGTCGCAAAACAGGTAAGTCGGTAAGTGAGGAACATCTGTACAGGCATATTACAAGCAAGATGGGAATTTGTCAAGGACTCAGTGACATTTAGGTTTTGTAAATATATAGGTGAACCAAATTACTGTTGGGTTGATTGCTTGTGCCTATGAAATGTAACACCTTTTTAGAATTAAATTGGCTTTACCCCGTATTGCAAATGAACTGTAGCATTGGTTTGCTCTGAGGCTTGGAAGTAGCTTCTCTGGGCTGCTTTATTCTGTCACAAAACTCAAAGCTGTGCCCCGACATTTTTGTAGGTATTGGAGCCCTTGTATGGCCTAAAATAACCTCTATATCAGGTAACTTTTAGAAAAGCCATTTATATAATTAGAGATTTTCTTGTACTTCCTCATAGGTCCTTCACAAAGTGGACCAGGTCCTCAGTACCCTAACTATCCTCAGGGACAGGGTCAACAGTATGTGCAATACAGACCTTCACAGCCAGGACCCCCACAGCCGCAACAGCAAAGACCTTATGGATATGATCAGGTAAATCCTAGAATACCATAACATATCGCCTAAGCATTAAAGAAGTACTCTGGGCAGAATAAAAATGAACCCTTGCAGTGGGGCTCTCCCCGACACTGCAAGTATAAACTGCTCGTTTTTCTCTACACCGCCGAATAAAGAAGATATAATCACCCGAGCCTTGATCCTGCAGCATATGTCTTTTGTAATATCCCTCCGCACACCTTACCGATGTACCCCAGAATCCAACGGGTGCTAGAACAACTGGTGGATGGCGCCACAATATACAATCTAGAAGATATGTCATCCGGACTCCATTCTACTTCAGAATGTCACCTTTATTCATATTCCTTTAGCATGACATTTGAATGCAACGTTTTGGAGTCTCATAGCCTTTGTCGGGCAAAGTGTCATTTTGCCTGACGAAGGGGTCCTGTGAGGCTCCAAAACGTTGCATTCACGTGTCATGCTAAAGGAATATGAATAAAGATGACATTCTGGATCAGAATGGAGTGCGGATGACATATCTTCTAAATTGATCCTGTGGCAGAGGCTGCTTACCTCCTCCTCACTACGCTCCAGAGGTGGAATGTCCCTTGGTGAACTCTCATCTAATACATTGTATTAGGCCTGATGACTCACAGGTTGTTAGACCACTGGAGTCTGGGGGAGAAGAGGCTGTTGGGACTGGTCTAGCAGTCAGGTGGGACCAAAGATCAGATGAGAATATGCAGTGTGGGGGTAGCCCAACTGCAGGGGTTAATTTGTTGTTCAGCCAGGAGTTCTTTAAAAGTACAGGTCAGCAATGATATTGGGATCCTTGTGTTTTTGTATGACTTGTGATTTATGCCTTTTTAGAATAGTTAAATCATTTATATAATTGTATTTTATGTCCATAAGACCTGAATTTTGTGAGTGTGCATTTTTGATTGTGGAAAGATTTATTGTTGCTCTGTCCTGCATTGCAAACAAATAAATGGTTCAACAGCATGCGTAAAAGTAAGCTTACAGTGTAAAGGGAAGGTGATCTATTCTTTTCATTAGAAGGGTCATCTGTAAATTCTCCTGTGTACAACGCCATGACCTATAAAACTAAATTTCATGTGACCATTTACAACCACTTGGGAGCTTGTAACTAATTATTTTTCAAGTGTTCATGTTTTCAGACCTTCCTTTTATGCCTGCACAGCTAATTTAAAGCTGAAGCTACATACTGTATATGTGAATTGTTTGACCCACAAAAGGATTTGCTGATACTGTTTAGGCAGACTTCTGATCCAGATCTACTCCTGCCAGAGAGCACGACCCTTCAGGACCAGCCTGCGCTTGGACAGTGATGGAGCAGTAGCACCATCATGAGGTTGTCTCTTTGCTCGCCCCTTGTGTAAGCATATTCACAGGGTGGTGACCCTGTCTCCCATAGCCTAAGCACCGTGTACAGGATTGCGGGAAGATTTGTATCAGAACCAGGTTTTAATGCTAGTTCAAAGAAAGTGTATTTTTGTTTTGTTTTGCAGAATAGGTTGAAAAAAAGACCAATAGAGTTCAACCTATGGAGATGAATGTCAGGCAAACTAGTAAATAAGCTGTTAACATACATAAACCTGAAAGTGTTTAGCCAGTCTTGTGATACAGACATCCCTGCCACACAGCATAACTAGTTTGGCGACCTCCATTCTGTCTACTGGAATTAATCAATACAGCTTGGTCACCAAGTTGCCCCAGTCAGTGATTTGACCATAAAGGAGAAGCAGCACACTGATGAGGCAATCACTCTGCCCTCTCTTGTGTAAGAATGTTTATACTATTGACTGACTGTATGGTGCACAGCAGAAGTCCTCTGGTTAGTTTAAAATGCTGACGCTTCCTTTCCCAGGCTGTGCAGAGCATTACAGAGCAATCGCCTCTGCTATTCCCATCGAACTTCTCAAAACATATACTCTTTCCTCTTTAGTAAAAATGTTGTCTGGTTTCCTGCCCCACTCCAAAGTGGTGACTTCCGTGGCATTCACATAGATTGGCCATACTGTGTGTGAGCACTTGGAGCTGCCTATGCAGAATCATTAGAGTGTAAACGTCTTAATAGGAGTGAGGTCAGGGATTCCTTCAGCTCTGTGAGGTGCTGCAGAAAGGGTTGGCAGTATAAAAATGAGTGAAAGTAGCTGGAGATTGATGCCTGGACCGGCAAAACGTTGAGTTAAAAAAAAATAACGTGAAACCAAGGTAAAAAAATCTTCACCTTGCACTTCAGCTTCTGGCCGCTACCTGTAGGTAAAGGTATCATCACTGGGCCTTCCTTTAGAATCCTGGGAACGGTGAGAATCCCAAATCTCAGTCATCCCTATGTTGTAGGATCCTCCATTTTCCAAAAATCTCCAGAAGGCCCAGTGAAGGGGGAGTTTGCTGGAAGGTGTGAGTATTTTTCTTTGAGAGTGCCAGCAAGACTTGTAAAATCCAAGCACTTTAATCTGCAAGTTTCAAAGGCTGGCTTGCAACTTTCTATTTTTGTTTAAAAAAAAATAACTTTACAAAATGTTTAAAACGGTATAATAAAAAGTATTAAACATATACACATAACATATACTCCAATCATATCAAATCAAAAACAGACCAACATTAAAAAAAGGATAAATTTAATATAATGATTATAATAGACAAAGGAAAAATATGTTGTCCCACATTGTTCACTTCTCCTGCCTTCTCCAAACTCTTCTCCCTGATAGAGATGTTCAAGCTCTTTTTTTATACATAGCAACTTTCTATAAGCCGCATGCTCCAGTGCAGACATGGGTTACTGGCCTAGGGCATATAAAAAGGAGAGGGGCTTCTGGGCATAGGTCAGTATGAGGAAGCATCACATTTAGAGTGGTCCAGGATTCAGTAGTCCCACAGTGTTCTTGTACACTTTTGAAGTTCCTTACGGGTTTTAGGTTGCTGCTCTTTATAGCTACCTACTTTTTTCATGAATCTGAATGCATTTATGCTTTTAGATCATTTTAGATTTTGATTATTTTGGAATTACAAATGCCTTAATGTTGCTTCTCTTCATTTTAGGGTCAGTATGGAAACTACCAACAGTAGAAACTCCCAGGTTCCTGTAGCCAGTCCTTGTAGCTCTTGTACTTTTTCCTCAGAACTGTGGTCATCTTCCCTTGGAGAGTTCATTAACTTTATCTTTTACATTTGGGGAAAACTACGTGAATTGATGGCAGCTTCTCAGTCTTTGCGTGTTAACCATGGAAGACTACAGAGATTCACATGCCCAGCTTAATTCAAGTTGTGTACTCTAGGTGGTGATGTTGCATCACAGATTCCAAGTCGTCCATGTGTCTCATGGAAAGCCGACCTTTTAAATGGTGGAGAGGTTTTAGGAAACTTTTTTTTATTTTTATTTTCCCTCTGATAGAATTCAATTTGTTCAGTGAATTTTATCTCTGTGAATTTTATCACAGATTTAATGTGTAAACCATAATAATAGGGCAGAGAATAGTGTATTTTAAATGTATCCATTGAACATTTAAATATGTGTTATCTTTAAATATGTGAATAATTGTTTTCCATAAATTAAGTACTTTGAATGTTTTTTTTTAATAAAATGATTGCAAAACCATTATCTGTGCAAATTCATTAAAACTAGAGAAAAGAAATTGGAGATGTTGCCTGTAGCAACCGGTTACAATTTGTGTTTTTGTTGGTCTAATAAATAGAATGTGAAACTTGATTGGTTGCTGTTAGCAACACTGTTGTGTATTTTGTTTTCTGATTTTAATGAATTGGCCTCATTCAATTATTGTGCATTGCCAGAATTTTTCTCCACTCCATCTTAAAGGAAAACTCCAGCCAAGAGATATAAGTGGAGAGGAGCTGATCTGAAATTCCTGTGCTTGCCATTGCCTCCACCAACTGTCTTGCCTGTAGCGAGTATCGGAAGCATGTGAAAACCTTAAGTTCTCCTCAAGCTGAAAGTCTTGCCATCAGAGATCTATGTAGAACTTTAGGAGCAGCATGTCATGACAAATTGAAGCATCTTTTCCATGTAATCCCCATTCATCCAGCTTCCGTGTGTGGTATTCTCCTTTGAAGATGATTGCCATATTTAGGGGACCTACCCCAAATGTTTCAGCCCTAAAAAGATGGAGGTTTCTCTTTTTTTGTATTGCTCGTGCACCGAAATGGATAAAGGCCGCTGATGCTGCAGATTCACCAGCAGGTGGAGCTGCATGTGAAATCTGAGATTGTGACTTTGTTTTTTGGTAACCTATGAAGCTTTGACATGGAAATATAACCAGTAGCATGCATGCTGGGAGACGTGTATGTGGCAAATAAACAAAAATCAAGGTTTTGGGGTTTTTTTGCAGATAGGTTTTCAGGTAACAAAGCTGGTTCTTGTGAAGTTTGGTATGCCAAGTTATGTACTTGCATATCTATCAGCCAGCACACAGTTTTATGTAATATAGAGCACAAGTTGCAATACACACTATTCTCCGTTTCTAGACAACCTTTTATGCAATACAGTTCCAGGGGACTTTTTGGTATAAGTTAAAAATGCATCATACACTTTTTATTACTCTCTGAAAAATAAATGTTATGAAATTGTATTTGTTATTTTGCAGAGGAATATTTTTTTTTCCTGTTTTAAAACTTAATAAAATACACAAGAAATGCAAACTAACCTAGTATGGGCCATTATTGTCATTTATTTTCTGGGTCTGTGCCAAACTTACACCTGTGTACGTACGTTGCTATTTTAATATGTACTCTGCAAGAATAAATTATTTGTGACCCAAACTTTTTTTTTTTGTTATAAAATGTATTTAAAGTATGTATGCTTGTGTGTTTGCATCTTTTAAAAATGTGTTTCATAGTTGGTAGGGGTGAGTAAAGACACAGGTCCATCATATCCTCATGACCAGTATGTACGTACTTGCAGGCTTGTAAGCACACACTATCTACACACTTCTGAAAGTATGCTGGCAGAATGATTGAAAATGTCTGAGCTGAAAAATAGGTTAAGTGGTAATAGACTCTGACCCATGAGTTAGACATTACCCTAAAGCATTGGTTCTCAACCTGGGTAACCTCAGGACCCACATTTGTCCTTGGTCATTAAGCCGCAACCCAAGTCGCACTGCAATGGAGCGTGCGGTACCTCAATGCATGGTAGGTACGATTTGCGTGGTACAGTTTAACACACTGTACTAGTGTGAACAGGCCCTCAAAAACACTGACATACATACACACTACACACTCAGACATTCTCACACACACACAATACAAAAAAATTTGCTTTTTTTAAGGTCCACCCAGTCTCCCTACCTTAAGAGAACTGGAGTGGATCCTTAGCCCGAGGTCCACTGTGTGCTGCTGTGCTGTGACAGAGCTCCATCCACATGTGCATTGCTTGTACAGCTCCCTTGTGCGCCCTGTAGAGATGCCAGGAGCCAGAATGTGACGTCACTCCAGTCCAGGCACCCCTACAGGACACGTGAGGGAGCTGTAAGAAATGCACATATAGATGGAGCTCCCTCACAGCCATAGCCCCATCCCTCAAGCTGACACTCGGTGCCGGGCAGCATATTTTGAATGGCTGCTTGGCACGAGAACTGACAGTGCCGCTCTAGGGGGAGGCTGAGGAGCCTCTCGCCTAGAAAAGTGGAAGGCATGGGGCCGCGACCCACTTTCGGGTAACGATCCACCAGTTGAGAACCAAGGCCCTAAAGGTATCTAAAACCGTAAGACGATAATTGGCAAGTCTGGCAACAATTCCTGATACTAACAGCAGATGGCTCCAGATGCAACTGGCTGCTGATTAAGAATACAAAGTCAAAATGAATTGGTAAGTTGATGCATGATGGGCAACCAAGCCATAACCAGAACATAAAATATATCCACAAGAAGCATATTGAATTGTAAGCCATCACAGGCAAGGCCCTCCTTACCATCTTCTCTTGAATTGTATTGTAATGTCTTCCTTATATTGTAAAGTGCTGCACAGACTTTTGGGGCTATAGAAATCCTGCATAATAATAATTAAATTCCTCCAAGGATTATATGGAGGATGCTTTTGGGTGAGGTGAAATGTGAAGCTAAGCTTACAATGTCACGAACAGGAACTTTAATCTCTGCATGATAATACACATTAAAAGCTGACCTTTTATCCTCTAACCAAAAAAAAAAAAAAATCAAAATTGAAAAAATATTGCTGAAAAAAAATAAATCGATTTTTGTCGAAAATGAGAATCGTGGTCAACGATTCTCATTATCGATTAGTTGATCTGGACTCATTCCCCTCCGATCCCCACTGCTCCCAGCAGGGATCAGAAGGGTACACAGACCCCTGCAGCCGATGCCCAGGGGTAAGGAGAGCTCCCCATCGGCTCTGCAGCTCTCTCCCCACTAGGAGCATGCTGCGGTCTGTGTCACCTCCGATCCCTGCTGCTCTACCCCCTGCCTGTATCAGCAGAGGCAGCATGGTTCGGGGGGAGACACAGTATGAAGGATCGGTAAATATGTAGAATATTTACCGATCCTTCCCTGTGAAGAAGAAAGCACCTAGTGATCAGTAGTGAACACTCAATACTTGTACAAATTTGACATGAACATCCTGTTCATTCCTGATTGTGGACATAGTAAACAGATACTATCTCCTCAATGTATGAATAAACAGGCTCTGTACTGCTTCCTGTTCATTGAATGCTGGGGTTGCAGAAAGAGATTATGGACCTTGTGTTTTATTTCAAAGCCCCTAATAGTAAAGTAAATGAAAAAAAAATGAGTAATAAAGTTAAAGAAAAAAAAGCCCCCCCAATAAAACAGAAAAAGGTGCTATTATTTTAAATGGTACCCCAAAAGCGCCTCTCGCCCGCAGCGGAAAACGACTGGTTCTGCAGTGCCGTGTGTTTTGGTGCAATGCTATTGCAAAAAAAAAAAAAAAAGATTCCGTACAGTTTTATACTGAAGTAAACTTTGCAACACTCTGTATTTTCTATTTTAAATAAAGATGGTATTTTTTTTTTTTATCTGAATAATCGACCAACTAATAGATTATGAAAATAATCATTAGTTGCAGCCTTAATCTTAAAGCAATGCAGGTTAGTGCGTTACACAGCATGCATTGATGTAATGCACAAGAAGGGAGAAGTGTGAATTGGCCCTTAACGTCTGTGAAGGTTCTCATTTACACTGCTCATATTATAGCAAGTAGTTGTCATATTTATCTGAACTTGTTCTATAATGTTAAATCGTCTTCCGAGCCGCTACTACTAGTTCTATGTTTAAGCACCAACTTCCTATTTCCTTTCTAGGCTGTGAGTGAGTTTTGTTTGTGCACAAGTCTTTCCATGCACTGTAGATACAAGAAGGATGGATATTGTGACAGTTTGAATTAAGGACTCTGACAAAACCATCAGTCTTAAGGGCCGGTTCACACCTGAACGGTTTATCGTGCGTTCCTACGCGTGGTAAAACGTGCAACAGGTGAAAACACATGTTTGCCTATGGGCATGGTTCTCACCTGCGCGTTTTACCGCGCGGTAAAACGCCATACGCCCAAAGAAGTACATGAGTTTCTTTGGGGCGTATTAACGCCCGTATCCCGCTGTATCAGCCGGCTACCCCCTGGGAAACCCGCGTTTCTTTTACCGCAAATCGCTGTAAAACCGCGCGGTAAGCAACGAGCGGCAAACGCGAGTTTCCAATACGCTAAGGTGTGAACCCAGTGTAACAGTTTACCCCCGTCCTCAATCCACAATCACCAGGTGGCAGGATGACACCAGATGGACAAATTTGCTACCCTATTTTTCTCGGTGTCGGCCAGCATCCACATGGAGACCATTGGTAGGGTGTATTGCATGGAAGAGACTGGGGTTTTTTTCTGGGCAAAACGAAAGCAATCAGGGAATGCATAATTGTATAATATTGGATTGTTTATCCTGCTTTGAATTAGGTTTAACAGCCTGAATAAAGCTAATTCTTTTCATACAGCAGGGATCTTTTAGAACCTGTGTTGGGTATATTTGCTGTCTGTCACCAGGGAATTTATCCTACAGTGCCTGCACCACTTAGTGACCCTAAACTCAGGAGTTAAAGGTAACTCCACTTTAAAAATTAATCTGAAAAAAATAAATAGAGCAAATATAATTGTCGTACAAGCCATATTTTAATATAATGTTAATGCTATTAAAATTACCTTTCCTTTTAAAACTGTAACTGCTGTAATGTTCTAAATCTGTCAAAAAATTCAAAGCCATATGGTGACCTGGAGGCGTTCCATACACAGTTGGTGTATGGAATGCCCCAAGAAATGTCACTTCTTGCTTCTGTGATTGGCTGACTGATTTTCCCAGAAATCTGCTCCAAGATAATAGTATAATTTTTGGTATCCCTTGCAACAGGATTTTAATGTTTATTGTGATATACTCCCTAAGAGTTAATTACCACTAAAGGGATTCTGACTGTAAGGTGCTTACCAAAATGCCGTTATGAGTTAATGCATGTAACTACCAACATGGCCCTGATCTCAAGATTATGGGCAAACATGCTCTCAATAGTGGCCGTGTGTTGGAATTCGTGCGTGCAGAAATATGCACAAACGTACTGACATCATAATTCCTGTGCATGGACGTTAGCACGATGTGTGTCTTTGCTCATTGACGTCTGATAGACTATAAAATCAGTGTGCGTCCTGAGCCTATTGCTGACTGGTCTTCAGCTTTTGTCCTGTGTTCCTGTTGCCCAACCTTGTTACTCTGCTACACTGTACTTGACTCCGCCTTACGTTCCTCACCTTGCACCTGATCACCGACTTGGCATCCAATTGCCTTATGCATGATCCTGGCTTGTGACC